AGTATGGATCTCCTCGAGGGTTTCCCTCCGAGATTGGCATTTGGCAAATTCGGCAATCCAATGTGCTGGAGTTCGAGCGGTCTCGGATACTTCTCTCACATGCAACTGAGCGGCCTTAGCATCGGCCCGATAAACAGCCACAAATGTGTCTACATCGGCCTTTGTCTTTTCAGCCTTGGCAAGTTTAGAAGCCAACCGAGCCTCGAGCTCTTCTATTTTCCTTGCTTGAGCCAAGCTTTTCTCCTTTAGACTCTGAAGTTGATTTTTGACCGATGATAATTAGGCTCGAGCAGCCTCTTTCTCTGCAGCAAAGCGGTCCATATTTCCTTTCCATTTCAAGGACTCTGCCTTTATCACATCGACCTCCTCACGGAGCTTCCCGATCATCTCAAGCTTCTGCTGCAGCTGTGAGACTGATAGGTTAGCCATCGTTCCAGTATCAAGTCCATAGGCTTTTAATAGTGTCATTACCTGCTCGGACAGATCGGCCTGATCTTAGTGAGCTTTGGCCAACTCAGCTCGGAGGCCCTTGATTTCTTTTTCCCTTTGCCCTAAGAGAAGTTTAAGGGCTTTCCTCTCCTCCATGGCCCATTGGAGATCGGCCTCGTATCGACACAGCTCAGCTCAGGATCGAGAACATGCTTCTTGATGAGTTACCACGGCCTACGAAGAAAGAAGAAACAAAGTAATAAAAGAAAAACAGACATAAGAGATAAAACCAACCAAATAATTTAAGGCTTACCTGATTCAAAGCCTGCTGTACTCCGTGAAAAAGATCTGATGCATCACTAGTGCCGGCAGCGTCCTCGACACCAGTAAACAGGCCACAAAAAGGATCATCTCCCTCATGAGGCCTGTCTAGTTCGAGGGGCCCTAAGCTTGGGCTTCCCGTATTGCCCCTTCGGAAAAAGCAGGGAAGGTGGGCGAGTCTTCGATTGCTACTTCCCCAAGTGAGTCACTTGGGGCATTCTCTTCGGTTCGAAGAGATTCGGGGAGAGCCCCTTCAGACATATCCCCCATCCGTTGGCTTCGATGGGAAGCATCCTCGATCTCCAACGACTCGGGGACTCTGCCCGAATCTTTCTTCGATATATCCTCAGTTCGAGGCAGAGCTTTATAAACCACCATCGATCCAGCTGCCTGTGGAATGTCGGTGGTCTTCTTCGATCAGGCCACCAGTACGGACCCGTCATCTTCCTCTTCCTTGTCTTCATCCCTTAGATGCTAAACCAATTCTAAGGTCAAAGGGATGGTATTCTTCCTCGACTTACAAGTCGACCTTGCCTTCGGTTTTGGATTTTCGGAAGTAGAGGCCCTTTTTCTCTTATTTTCCTCCGCCGGTTTAGAAACCGGGTCCGAGGCTTCTTCCTCGTCGGGCAGGTGCCTCAGAACCGCATCTCTGCCCAGGCCTGCACACAAGAAAATTGGTTGGATATGTGAAAAATATTTCGTTCGAACTCTCAAAACATGAGAAATAGGCTTACCATTATTTTTGGCTTCCTATCGGCCCTTTGCCAAATCACGCCATGAACGTTCGGCATATGTAGAGGTCGAAGCCAGGGCCCGTACCCAGCTCTTAAGATATTGGGAACGGCACCGGGCATCCAAGGAACCGCTGCATCACAAAAAAGATATCAGCAACAAAGAAACAAAGAAACAAGGCGATAGGGAATAAGCAGCAGAATTACACTTACGCTTCATATTCCATTCTTCGGGGAATGGCATCTTTTCGGCTGGGATCAGGTCCGAAGTCTTCACTCGAATGAACCTGCCCATCCAACCTCGATCCTTGTCCTCATCTATGTTCGAGAATAGTACCTTGGTAGCCCGGCATTAAAGTTTTATTAATCCACCTTGAAAGAGGCAGGGACTATACAATCTAATAAGATGATCGAGGGTGAAAGGCATCCCCTCGGTCTTGTTTGCGAAGAAACAGATCAGGATAACGATCCGCCAAAAGAAGGATGAATCTGACCTAGAGTTATTCGGTATTGACAACAAAAATCGATGATAACAGGGTCGAGAGGTCCTAACGTAAAAAGGTAAGTATACACACTAAGGAACCCTTCCACGTGGGTGGCAATATCTTCATCGGGAGCCAGAATTATCACTTCCTTGTTATCCCAGTTGCAATCTGTCTTTAACTGAGCAAGTTTATTTTTGGTTATCGAACACAAATACCTCGATACCGGCTCACACCGATCGGGAAACAACGAGCCCTTATCGACCTTAAAATCGGAGGTGAGAAGACATGTTCCGGGAACAAACTCTTCAGGCCGTGGCTCCACCGGTATTTTATCGGCGGCGGGTTGTGAAGAAGAAGCCTCTTCTTTTTTAGGGACGGTTTTTGATGTTTTCACCATTTTTTGAATTTAGAAGAAAGAAATAAAGAAGATGTGGTGTTTCAAAGAAAGATTTTGCAGTAAAAATCACAGAAGAAAAATTTCGCACTTAATTCAGAAGGTATGAGAAAATGCTTAGGAAATTTTGAGATTAGAAGATGTAAAAGTGATTAATGGTGAAAGAAGGAGATGTTTATAGGCTGAGCAGTGGCGGTCCTATATCGATAATGACCGACCACCGTCTGACACGCATTAAATCCTCGATAAACTGAACCGATGGGACAACTATCGTATACGTCACGATCGGATTCGATGCACACGTTAGTATATATCTAATCATACCGTTGGAAAATCATATCGTTTCTCGTTACATTCTTCCCGAGAAACACGGGGACTATTTGTATACGGTCAAAATTAATTAGTCCGTCGTACGGACTGGTCGGCATGATAATACTTTGATCGAAGGGCGGCTTCGTAATACCAGGTAGAGGTTCGAAGTCAGGTCATCGAGTTTCGAGTTCTAGGACGGATCAATGACAAGCTCGGTATCATTATCGAGCTCGTATCTAAATCGAACTACGGGGCGAGGCAAAATTATCGAGTCTAAGATGCATAGATCGACCGACACCGACCCTGAGTCAATACTAGACTCCGAGTCAGAATCGAGCTCGAGTCAAGATCGAAAGCTCGAGTCAATCTCGAGCTCACAGACAAGAGTCGTTGCAACCATACTAGGAGAGAGAATCCTGGCAGGAATTAGGAAAAAGCTAGTTCCTCATGGGTTCCCTACTATGTATTTTTTATTATATCTAAAGTAGGATCCTTCCACTATAAAGGGAATGCTTGTTGTTTCTGTGAAGGACACATTCACACATTGAAAGATCAATCCTTTGAGCTCTCTTACTTCATTTATTTCCTCTTTTCAACAGTTTTTATCTTTCGTTCTTATAGTCAAGATTGGATATTTTTATTTCTCTTTACGATTTGTATCAAGCTATACCACATACCCTTAGAACTACGTACAAATTCAACTCTATCTAATTTTTCTGGTAAACACTTACCACACTAACTATATTAGTTTATATTCCTTAATTTGGTCATTAATCACGTTATCTCTTAAGACTACAATTGTACAACACGAAACAAAATTGTTGTTAGAGAAGAGTTTCTTGTTTCCTAAATGGTAACTAGCTCGAAAAATAAATGTATAATGTTAGAAGTGTGAAATATCGCATATGTTATTTCAAGTTTTTCATAGTCTATTACGGTTGAAATAACTCTACCCCTTCCTCTTAAGATTTTGATAATCGTTAAGAATATATTATATAGATGAAAGGAGTACAATGACAATTTTCTGCTAGATAGTTTGTATATGGAAACTGATAGTAGATGATTTGTAGATCTCAATGAAACTATATGATAACTGTTGATAATAAATAAAAATAGTAGCTAAATATTAAGATAGATAATCTGCTATCATAGGTTAAATTGCACAATGTAATTAAAAATATTACTATTAGTGTATATGAATTAATATCAATCAATATATATATATATATATATATATATATATATATATATATCCTCTAATGCATGGATGGAGCTAGTGATTTGCTTAATATGAGTTTGACCAAGTCCAATAACTTTGATCCAAATTTTATATTTGTTTTAAAATTTTAATTGAATATATATAAATTATAATTTAAAACATAATAATTTTAAAGAAATAGAATTTCGAACGTATAAAATTTAAATTATAGCTTCGTTTTACCGTAATGCATGTCCTACCACCTGTTTTCCTACTTTGAACAAGAAACATGTTCTATAATTATGGGCCCTTAAATAATTCATGACGTCACGGATGATGATATACGAGATGTTGACTCCCATACTTGAATTGACACCATTGACTTACTAAAAAATACATGGAACTCTAGAAGATAACAAGGTACAATATTTAGCATATGTTGTTCTTTTTGTTTTTTCCTTTTCTTCTTTAATACTTTTAAAATTGTGGCGATTAACTAGCCAAATTAACTTCAGAAAAATGAATTCCCGAATCAAAAGATTATTCAATTCTTAAACTCCAAGATAACAGTTCAAAAATATAATGTAGGAGCAATATTTTTTCACATTCTCGTAATAGAAAAAAGAAATGTCCAATTTAATAGGAGTACATGCATGTTTATGATACACCATATATATAGTTGGATTTTAAGAAGATAATAATATAATAGTCCAGTAATTATTATTGATCCATCCATTTCTTGCATTATAGTCCACAAACTGTATAGTAATCTAATTTTTTAATGCATTTCTTGATAAATACACTTTAGTTCACAAATTTTAGGACTCGGTATGTGCAATAAATTTCCATCATCTCCACAATCTGCTTTTGATTTTCTTTTTCCTCTTTCTTATAATTTACCCCTTTAAATGGATCTAAACTAGTCTATTTTGCTCCAACTTGCATATCCCATTTTAATTTGACCGTTGACCTTAATGCTTAATTTGACCTTAGTGCTCATTTTCGTCCACATGCTTCGTTTATAGAGCCTTTGACTTGCACAATCTTCAACCTATAAATAACCGAGACTACTTATTTTGCAACAAATCTAAGCAAACTTAACACCTTTTTTTTTTCTTTTTGTTACAAAAATGAGCAGCTCAGATGAAGGTACAAGTGCAGAGCAGAAAAAATACAGAGGAATTCGGCGTCGAAAATGGGGGAAATGGGTGTCAGAAATTCGAGTTCCAGGTAGCAGTGAACGGCTTTGGCTAGGCACTTATACAACCCAAGAAGCTGCTGCTGTTGCACATGATATAGCCTATTATTGTCTCCGGGAATCGTCCTTGTCGTTAGATAAATTAAACTTCCCATTTATGTTACCGGCCGTTAATGTTGAACGTGGAATGTCACCGAGGTCAGTGCAAAAGGTGGCCTCAGATGCTGGCATGGCCATTGATGCAAAGTTGGTTACAAGTTACCCTACTCCTACTGTAAAAGGTGGTCAACAAGAAATGAATGGTCATGTTTGTCAAAGTGTGGACAATAATGGGAAAAGTGAAGCTCTCAGCATTTCTGTTGAAGATTATCTATATTGATATTTGAAGCACATGCATTCGTCAGACTGAAATTTTTTGAATACCGAAATCCTAAAGTAAAAGAATAAAACTTTGCACATCCCTGAGTTTCTCTGTCTCCCAAGGGGCACCCTTTTTTCTTTTACACAAGTTCGGTTGGTTTTCAAGAATTTTGATGATCAAACTACTTAGTTAATTTAAACTTATTCGGGTATATATTGTGTATTTTCGTAATCTAGTTCATCGGTACTTTGAGTGGGCCCTCAGTCAATAATCAATATCCAAAGCATTCTTGTACGTACGCATACAAGATACATGCAATTCTTCTATTTATCCTGATTGATAAATAATCACAACTACATCATTTATCAAACTGGTCTTCATTTAAATAAAGGTATCAATCACTGTACTATAAAGATGAGTTAAAGCATCAAAAAGAACTTAACGGGAACCAAGTTTATTCGTTTATTCATCTCGAGAGTAGAAACGATCATCTTACAAATTAAATCTTGACAAATACACAGTTTTGAACATAACCCACAGAAATCAAAGTATCTTCATTCCATTTTCTGCAGATCTTGCATCACGATAGGGGCTCCGAGTCTCTGAGGAGACGAGGATGGGGATGTCTCTAGAAGAGGCCTTCCCGTTCCAATAAAGGAAGTTTTCCTAGCACCTTGATGTGCAAATAGCATCCGAAATGTCCATTGGAGGATGTTTGGTGCGAAGACTCTATAGAGAAGGAAAATGTCGTACCAGCCTGGGTATTTCACGTATGGATCTCCACGACATGCCCCCGCTACAATCAACTTTGCAAATTCCTCCACTGAACTTCCAGATGCACCAACCTTAAATCCAAAGTCATATACAAACATTGTAAAGCGATGGACATAACAACTTACCAGAAATTACCCAAAAATGACAAGGGAAATATCCCATGTAATATATTTAAGAATTTAGCAATTTTAGATTTCCGTATGAGTAATTTCTGTGGTAAAAATCCCTATGTAATTAGCAGGTTTCTTGTAGCGTACGATCTTAAATCTGCAAAGAGCTAACTCCCAACTATAAAATGGACAGTCCTATGTAGATCATTAATTCCAACAACCTTGTATCAACTACTAGTTATAGAAATTAAAAGTAGTGAGGCATTTAAGTTTATAATTTCTCCATAATCCATAATATCCTAAGTCCTGCTTGGAAAAGAAAAGCATGTGAACTTAACACATTGAAACAGCTAGAAACCGTGTTTCTGCTGCTTAAAGTCATGGATGTTTTATGCATCAAAAAGGTCAGACATGTCCTTTTTTGCTGCTTTGAAAAGGAAAGCATGGAACTTTGCAAATAGTAGCAGTGTGTTGGAGCAGACAGAGAATTTCAATTCTACAAAGCGAAGAGAATCTTACTTCCCTTTCTTCCTTCCACTGCATATCCGCACCTTCATCCATCATGAATTTTCCCCTTGTTATTTCAGTCCCAATCCATCCGTGTGTCGCTATTGTGATCCCGACATCATCCTTCACCTCTAACTTTAGGGTCTCATAAAAGTTTATAACTGCGGCTTTTGCTGCCTATTCAAAAGAAAAAAGGGAAATATTAAGAAACTGAAAAGAAGCATACCACCAAAATGCTTTCTTTGCTAAGGTGAATTATGAACACTGACTCTTTGGCCAAAGGGGAGATGGAGGAGTCTAAACAATGTTGACTCAAGAAGCAAAATAATGCAGCTTTAAAGGTCTGTATATGAAGTTCAATTCTTACTGAATATAAGCTCATTCTTGGCAAAGGTAACCAGTTCTCCACTGATGCATTCACAATGACCCGGCCTCTGGTTTGCCGCAGATGAGGTAGAGCTACATAGGTAGGATACACATTTCCCCAGAAATTGATATCCTAAGAAGAAGGAAAAACTTCACACTTCAAAGTTATAGATTAATTTGGAGTTACTAGCAGCACTTGAATGCGAGAATTTATAACAATTAGTAACTATGGATGATAACAAATTAGATACTCCAAATACCATCAAAATAGGAAACACATTTGTATCCGTGGCTTCTTCCAGGTAGAAAGTATGTCCCAAGCTTACTGTATTCACAAGATGATCCACTGCAAATAATGGAACAACAACTAAATATCAGCTAACCTTTTCATGAGAACGCGCTATTCTATATGATTAAAACATGTCATATACAATATAACACTGTTTTTGTTCAAGGTTGATAGTCTCATTCTCCCAAGGACAATTGAATAAATTTCTAACTGAAAGCAGATACAAAAGTATTCACTCTTTTAGAAACTGAAAACTTGAACATTTGAAACCACCACATTAAAATTGCTATAAGTAACAAACCTCTTTATTTCAAAATAGGATGAGGTGTTACATAAGAACTTGAAATTAATTTTTTGGCTGCTGAGGAAGTAGGATAGTTCCAGCAAAATCAGAGTCCATCTGTAGATAATATCTGCTTCTGATTATTTTTGCTTGAAGGAATGAAATGAAATAACCTCGAAATAGAATTTCAAATACGGTTTTAAGTTGACCAAGCCTATATAATTACCTAGTGATAATGCACAATGGAATAGAGACATAAAGAAACTCTGTCTAAATCAAGGATGGTTATAGGGGAAGGGGGATCAATTGTCAAAAATTTCTTTGTTCATATCACTTGAGCGCGGGCATATGTACCTTGAGAACCCTGGTCCATTCAAATCAGAATAGATGAAAAGCTTGTAATACATCAGTGGTCAGCTTGCGCTAGGGAACCTCATCTAATAACATTTTGAATCATTATTAACAAAACAAGACGAACATATTACTTGGACTTACCACGCCCATAAAAGTTTACAGTCTCGGTGATGAATCTCCTACAATCATCTTCTTTGACAACATCTGCAGCCATTATCAGGACATTTTTTGCACCTAGTTGCCTAGCTTTCTCACGGATTCCCCAGAGTCTATTTTCTCTCCTTGCAACCAAGACAAGATTTGTTCTCCTCTTTGCGTATTCATATGCAATTTGCTAACATCACAGAGCACAAGATCAAGAATCTAGTACTTTTTAAATATCTTCATGCACCAAAAAAGCAATTCACAAAAGATTAGTGAGAAGAAAAGTGTAAAATAGCTGTGCTTTGCAGCTATAACAACCCGAGTAATGAACTACTTACATAAAAATAATTGTATCAACCTAGGTATCTTTTTGGTGAAGGACCAGTTTATCCTAAATGTCTGATTTTAAAGAAATACTCTTTCTTCTTGCATAAAAAAGGAGAAGGGCTTTTGCAAAAGCATTCAAATACAACCTATGTAAAGTACTGCAATATTGTCAAAGAAATCATATTTAGTACTGTAGGTCATAATTTAAACTTTGGACCAATAATGATAGCTCAATCTGAAAATGGAAGATGACCCTCCAATCTCAATTGTGGTAAAGTCTAAGGCGTCCTCTTGAAAAGAACAATCATAGATCGACGATAGTTAATTACTTTTCAGATATCACTATATGAAGTTCTGCCTAGTTCTTCAGCAAATCATGATTCCCTTATTCCATCAACTTTACCAAGTTTAGTCAAAAGAAAAAGGGAACGCTTGTAAAATGCATATATAGAAACACCAGAGTTATAAATTCCAGTTTGGTCAAGGTAAAGTTAATGCAGTGTAATTTTACAAACTCTCCTTACCTTACAGTCAAGTGGCTTTAACCTTCCCTAGACGAGCGGTCTTTTACATAAGCCAATTTGAAGTTATTCTATAGACTAGGCGAAAGACAATGTAAAAGTCATTGGGATAAGGTGGTTTTTGTCATTAGCTATAAATTAATGTAATTAGCTAAGGTAGGTACTTTTTAACCAAAATTTTGTCTTTGTAATTATTGCAATGTGCATTAGACAGGGTGCTTTAGAGTAACTCCATATATAACCTACAAATAATTAAGTTTTGTTTATGTAAGAGAAGTGTACGCTAAATTGACATTTGTATAGCATGCAGTTTAAGTTGTTGAAGAAAAACGAAAAAGAAAGTGCTATCGCTGATCCCAAATATTAACATGTTCCTGCTTGAAAGATGACATATATATAGAGAGAGAGAGAGAATCAGAATTGAGTTACCTCTCCAATACCAGAAGAAGCTCCGGTGATAATAACAACTTTATCCTCCATATCTTCACCAAAGAAAGTGTTGTAAAGCCGTTCACATATGTTGATGAAAGTGAAAGCTGGCCATGCACATGCCAACATCACCAAACTTGCCGGTGGTACCACAAAATTCAGCACTGAGTTCACCAAATCCATTAATTAATTCCTTTTATATATAATCGATCACCTCTTTTCCAATATATTAATTCCTTCAATTCACAAAACTGAAGAAAAATGAGATCAGGAGGGAAAAGAGGGTTGATTTTTAGTGCAGTTTGGTTGGGTAGGTTAAGATTTAGTAGTGTAGGAATTAGATAGATAAACACTAAAGCTGATCGATAGTGCATGCAAATGAGAGAACACGTGGTATGAGGTGCTGAGAGGGTTTATGACGAATGGAGGACTTGTTTTTTCGGAACTACTTGCATGCCCTACAAATATTTTATTTTTTTATATCACAAGTCACAACACATAAAAGTGGACAAATTAGTACTCCTAATATTAATTAGTCGTGTCACTTTTTAAAATGAACTATAATGACCGTTATTATATTATATTATATTATAATTGAATGAACACTTTTAAGGTAAAGTTAATTTATTAAAATACTCATAAAAATTGAATGTCAATTTTATCCCTCACTTAAATACTACTATTTCTTTAATATTTTTGTACCAAAAATTTATGATAAGTTCCTTATAGCTCCCACTTACTGCAGCATATTCAATGCCTTAATTGCTTTTCATCTTCCTATATTTATTCAATTTTTTTGGAGTTCTTTTGAACTTCCAAAAGTAAATTTTATAAACTTACAAATTTCTCATACTATTGAACTACTGCCATTGACGTTCTCTTCGAGGAGTTTTAATACCCATTCTTCTTCTCCGTTATTTATCTTCTAATCATCAATGCGATGTTCTTTTATGCGTATGTGTCATGAGTTTAATTGATATTGCTCATGCATCAAC